CGGCGGCTGGAGTCTGGTCTGGTGCCGCGCTCGCGCCCTCGCTGCCCGGCTGGCGCCCGCCTCCGCCGCTCCGCCCCGCTCCGCGCGGCAGCAGACTCTTGCTCGGCTCCGCTCCGGTGAAATCGATTTCAACTCAACTCGCCGACAGTTTTGCTGGCCAAGTGCGACTTGCAGAGTATCTGAATCGTTACGTCAATTGGAGCTAGGTCTCACGTTCCTAACGTAACGAACAAGCCCACAAGATACCCGTTTTCACAAATGGGTGGTTGATTGAAATGGGTGGAAATGGGTGGCTCTCGCTCTCGCTCTCGCTCTCGCTCTCTCTCCTGGTATGGATGTCTCACCCAGTGTTTCTATTGCCAATCTTCTGCTTTCGTGGCCGGCGCGCCCGCACAGTCGTGGCCTCTGGCCGCAGCCTGTCGAGCCTGCGCCGTCACTGCTGATCCTCCACGCTCCCAATTACAGCGTGGAGATGATAACCAGCCAGGGAGCTTCTGCGCCGTCCTCTCGCTGCCACCCGAATCGTCCTTGTCACTGCCGTCTCTGCTCTCCTCCCCTCCGTTCCCGGCCTCGCCCTCGCTGGGCGACGAGGGGTGCTGGAACCGCGGCACGGCTCGGCTCGGGCGCCTCTCAAACTCTATTTATAGCGCTGCTTCCGGCGTCACTGCCCCGTGCATGGCCCTCGGATCCCCCAGCTCCGTCTGTCGTGCCGCTGACGCACGCAGCGCGTCCGAGCTGCGAGCTCTGGGATCCCCCAGCTTCGTCCTCGTGCCGCTGACGCAGGCGGCGCGTCCGAGCTGCCAGCTCCGGCTCCGCCAGCCGTCTGTTCCGCCTCAGGGACGGAGCGTCGTTCCCCTCGTCTCGAGGCGACCCCTTCGCCGGCTGTGCGGCATCATGACGTCACACACGGCTGCATGGCGTGGGCTGTGCGGCATCTCCAGTCGCGTTGTCTTCAGCCGACACGTTTGCCCCGGCCGTGAATGCGAGACCAAACGTGGCCCGCAGCACAGATGGGACATCCTGCGTCTGAAGCAGCGGGTCTTTGCTTGATTCCACCCGGGTGAAATGGATTCCGAGCCCGAACCGAAGCGAATGCCGCGGAAATGGAATCCGATTAAAGCGTCTGTTGAAAGTTGGAATCGAATCCGAATATGACTCATGCACAGTTAGAGTTGACGAACCTCGTTCCAAATCTGAGTGAAGTTTTGGGTTTGAAAGCAGAATAGGCAGTACATAGCTGCACGGGTACAAATACGTGCGTGCAAATACCACATACGCGTGTGAGTCTGTGCATAAACGTGCTTCAACGGTATCGAAGCCTTTCAACTGATAGTTTGTGGATGGAACAACGCAGGGCCGCGGTCGTGTATCTATGGCGCAACAGGAGCATAACTGTCGTGAAAACTGGTTTCAAGCAATGAAGCTCTTGGCATCTGAAATATTTTTGGATCTTGACAACTCAAACCTACCAACGCTACCCCAGCATTCCCGCCACTTAAGTTGATTGTTCAACTTGATTTTCACACATACTAGCAAGATACCTCGCCTTAAGCACGTGATCACGTGCCTGGTCGAACTTTGGTCCCGTCACCTTTCATCAGTACCAGAGACGAGGCGTTACCACTGCAAATTGTCACCGACCGTCATCAGCTGACGACTACCGGGCCTTGGTAGATCCTGACTCAAAAGGGAGAAAGGAAACAAGGAGGAAGGAGAGGGGAAAGCGAGGTGGGTCAGATGACGAGAGTGGGAGAGGGGAGGGGGGGGGGGACAGCGGCGAGGGAGAGCCAGCTTCTGGCGGGCAGAGGCACGCACACCCGGGCGTTGGCTCGAGCTGACGGCGAGCGCGCTCGGACCCCGCAGGCAGCGGCACGCACACCCGGGCGTTGGCTCGAGCTGACGGCGAGCGCGCTCGGACCCCGCAGGCAGCGGCACGCACACCCGGGCGTTGGCTCGAGCTGACGGCGAGCGCGCTCGGGCACCGTAACGGTCCATGCCATGGAATGTGTGGCCTAAACCGCGACGATTAACGGATGCTGGCCCTCGGTCTACATTCACAACGCCTACAGCCAGCTCTTTCTCAGGAAATGGAACAAAGCTGACCGATGCGGGTACACCCGAAGTGGGAGGCACCCTTGAAACCTCAGCATTACCCGGAAAGTAAGGCCGCACTCCGACACCGATTCATGCATACTGACAAGGTATTGGCTCTAACTTGCAACGTTAGTTCCAGCCTGGGCCCCGCCCAGAAACAACATGTTTTATAAAAGCTCGAGCTATGACGTATGGCATAGCTGAATGGTCCGTCACTGCCCAGTGTCAGCCGCTTCTCCCGACTGGGCGCGTGCTGCAGCCCAGCTCACAATACACACCGCCGGCGGAAGTCAGGGAGTGCCGAGTGAAGGCGTCCGTGACGTATGGCATGCGACGGGCGCGGCTTCACGAGCGTCGGCCCTGATGGCCAATGGCCGCGGGGCGTTGACGAGCGAACCTGCTCGGCTTTGGGTGCCTGGCGAGCCATGCCGCCGAAATGGCTTGACGCAATCGAAACGCTGTGGCGCAGGGGGAGCGACTCCGCACAGGCGAAACAGTAAGCGAGTCAACTTGGTGGAAGTGAAATTCACGGCCACGCAACGCATGAAGAGCATGCATGCAAGCGTGTTGAGAATGTGGCACAGACGGAAGCTTCGGGGCGTGAAGATAGGCACGGCACGCGCCAGGTTTTGAACACACGGCTACAGCAATTACCAGGGCTTCCAGTGCAGTCTGTGCCGCAAACGTCATGCACTTCGATTGGCCGTACTGAGCCCACACGATCCGCATGCTGGCGAAATTGTTGGCCGCGCCTTGAAGGATAAAAACTCCACAACTGTTGGTGGGGATGTATTTAGATACAGATATATATATATATATATATATATATATATATATATATATATATATATATATATATATATAGGTGTAGGTGTACTTTCCTACCTAACGTTAGAAAAAATCATTGCACACCATTCGTCGTGTTTAAGGCGGCACATATCGTAAATAATCTCAAAACAGGTAGAATCATGCTCCAACCTTCGAATTTCAATAACTTCGATGGCGGGCTCCCGAGCGCCGCGCGCACCGCACCGCCTGGACTTCCCAGCGCCGTTTCTGCGTTGCCGTTGCGTAAATACAATATTTCCGCTTGCCAAGAACTCTACAAAATGTACGGGACCAAGGTAAACCATTCGTCGTGTTTAAGGCGGAACATATCGTAAATAATTTCAAAACAGATAGAATCATGCTCCTACCCTCGAATTTTAATAAATACGACAGCGAGCTCCCGGGCGCCGCACGCACCGCACCGCACCGCCTCGACTCCCAAGCGCCGTTTCTGCGTTGTTGCAAAAGCACAATATTTCTGCTTATCAAGAACCATAAAACATGTACGGGACCAAGGTAACAATAATAAAGCAACCAGAATCGTTTCTTATCGAGTTTAGGTACATTTATGAAACACACAGGCCAGAATAGTCCAGAACATATCCTAAACTAGCCTAACCTAACCTAACCTAACCTAACCTAACCGAGAATAGACCAGAACCTAAGCTAAGCTAAGCTAAGCTAAGCTAACCTGACCTGACCTAACCTGACCTGACCTAACCTAACTTAACCTAACCTAACCTGGCCCGGTACATTTTTATGGTTCTTGATGCTGCTTGATGCGCAGTAATGTTGTGACCCGCGCAGTGATGGCGCCGGTGTCGCGGGTGCTGTGTGTGTGCGGCGCTCGGGAGCTCGCCATCGTAATTATGAAAAATTGAAGGTAAGATCATGAATCTACCTGTTTTGTGATTATTTACGATATGTCCTGCCTTAAACACGACGAATGGTTTACCTTGGTCCCGTGCATTTTGTAGAGTTCTTGGTAAGCAGAAATATTGTATTTACGCAATGGCAACGCAGAAACGGCACTGGGGAGTCCAGGCGGTGCGGTGCGCGCGGCGCTCGGGAGCCCGCCATCGAAGTTATTGAAATTCGAAGGTAGGAGCATGATTCGACCTGTTTTGAGATTATTTACGATATGTCCTGCCTTAAACACGATGAATGGTGTACAATGATTTTTTCTAACGTTAGGTAGGAAAGTACACCCTGACCAAGATTTTCAGGGGTATATGACTTGTAGCAGGTAGGCTCCTTTGAGGCGGATATATTGGGTCATATGAAGATAGCGCCACAGTTTTCAATACTGCCAAAATAGACCAGGCTGTGACAAGGTGCTACAAGAATATGAGGTGAGGTGGTACTATTAGGTCCCTTCCGTGAGAGCCAAGATTGTCGCAGGCACATGCAATCTAGCCTTAAGTACGCAGAGCACGGTCGGTCGAGTACTCTGAGTCATTACAATGGATCTAACCACACAAAACGCTAATGGTGTCAAGCCAAGCGCATCGGCAGCGGTTTCACATTCCTACCAAGCCCGACCGATCGGCCCCACAAGGCCCCCTCTGCACCATTGCCGAATCGCTCACCGCTGAGTCACACAGCGGCTATGGTGACTCGGCGGGCAGCTATTTCATCTTTGAGAGACGCCACAGCTGGGTGAACAGACACCGGGCGAGGGAGGGGGGAGGATGGGGCGGGGAAGAGGCGGCAGCGGACACCTCCAGACAGCCCGGCCGGCCGGGTCACACCGCGCGCTCAGCGGCGTCGCGCTTCCGGCCCGTCCCGAGCGCCCTCTGTGCCATGCAAGGAGGCAACAAGTCGGCGGCACGGCCACGGCCGGCCGACCGGTCGCGCATTCCGGCTCCGCGTGGCCACGGCGCGGAACCGAGCCCTGTCCAGGTGAACACGGGCCTACCAGGAGCCCGGCCGTCCGTCGGACAGGCAGAGACCGGGCGTCTAAAACACTGTGTCCGGACTCAGCAGCATCGGCAGCCGCTGCACGCCGCCCTACCGAAACACGCCGCAGCCCGACAGACGCGCCGTCCGCAGAGACCCTTGCCGGCCTCAGTACTCACTCGTATCTCATCAGGGTGTCGACGGTCGTCCTGTGCTGTCCACGCGCGCCGGCGGTGCCTCCAACCTCCCTCACTCCGCCGCTGTCCGGGCGCGCCTGCCGAGCCGCGCGCCGCCGTCGCCCGCCGTCCTAATCAATGAACTATGTCTGGAATGCCGCGGTCACGTGACCGGCGCAGCGGCCACTGATTGGCCAGCGTCGGCCTGCCGGCCCGGCAGGAATGCGCGGGGTAAAATTTGGCCGCTGGAGGGAGGGGCATTTAATCCGGGATGCGACCGGACGCGGAGGGCGTTATTGGTGCACGGCGCGCTTGCCGCAGCGGCCACGCGCAGCCGGGCCAACGCCCTCCCCCCCAACCGAGGTCGGCCAGCCGGCTGTCAAGCATCGACCCAGGCGAGGATTGTTGCGAGCCCGGGCGCACACTGCGCGGCACAGGCAATAACGGTACATTGCGCTGTGTGAGGGGCAATGGAACAATCCCAACGCAGCACTGAACGTCGCCGGTAGACCCGCCATCGCAGGGGATTCGTTTACGTCACACGTCTCCGTAGGTGCCGCAGGTGGTAGGCACTGGCCACGGACAATGGGGTTTGCTAGGCTCATTGCGCATATGGTTTGTAGTTGCCCCTGTCCACGCATCAGCGTTTGACGATTGATGCGGGATCCGGGGCATAATCAGCGTTTGCCGATTGATGCAGGATGCGTGGCATAATCAGCGTTGACGACTGATGCCGGATCCGTGGCATTATCAGCGTTTGACGATTGACGCAGGATCCGTGGCATAACCAGCGTTTGACGATTGATGCAGGATCTGTGGCATACAAACATGCATAATCCTTTCGAAGATGTACGGCATCCGGGCATTTTAACACCGCTTTAAGATCTCGCGTGATTCAGAACCCACAGTGACCTTGCGAAAGGCTTGCCAGGATCCAAGAGCTGTTGCAGCATGTTCAGAGGTCCTCTGGGTCCGGGATGCAATTTCGGATTCACGCCCTGTGCACACGTCCGGTCCTAAAATGATGGGGCCTTCGCATTGTCGACAGAAACCCGGGTCAGCGACATTTAAGGCGATCAGTCCGATTAGATAGGAGGCTTAGCTTTGCTTTGCCGCATTCATGTGCATAGGAACATTGGCAGACAGAGGTCCGCGGTAATACACACAAGCCCGAAGTCATTAAGTGCTGGTGCCTCTTGGGATGGTTGGCATCTCTGCAGTGGGTGCTTTCCTGAAGCAGGTAGGCGCTACCAAGGCTAGTGCAAAATAAAGGAAAACATTCCAAGGCATTCCAAGGTCTTGATCTCGGCAGGCCAGTAAAGCAGTTTGCGAAGTTTGTGAAGTGCTGGATGTAGGTCCGGCGCAATAACAGGTTGGGCTCGTTCCAATGCAGGATATGCGGTTATGTGGTTGTCCAGAATGACTTCAAATAGCCCACAACATACCTGTACGCCACTTTGTCAACGTCATTGATCTAAACACAGTTCGATGCTGGGTGCGCCGCAAGACGGAGCAGTAGAACGTCGTACAAAAGGGGGCAGTCTTAAACATTTTGGCATGCCTCAACCTCCGCATGTACCAAACGCTCCGTTTTTTATCCAACAAACAGTCCATAAGCCCATGCATCTGTTTTGCGCTTCTGGTCAAAATTTGGGCAAGCCGCTACTGTCTGCAGTAGCAACAATATGCTTCCTACGTCTGATGTTATCGTCATCAGTTAGGTGTTCTTGAGGTCCTGAAACAAAGGCTTTCAAGGCATGATTTCTGCATCCAATCCATCTGTAACGGAAGTAATGTAAGTAAGAATGAAAGTGGCGCTGATTTGACAGGAAGGACATAAACAGAAGCACCGAGTGAAAATCATTCCTTGAAGAAGATTCCTGGCGTTTCGTGAACGTCTTACTCATGCTCAGGGGTGTCTAATGCCAGATCCGGGACTAGTGGATGGGGGGGGGGGGGGGGGCGGAGGACGCACGCAGCAATGTGGGACCCCTACAGTTTGGGGCTTCCTCCAAAAGTATCGCTCTTCGGCTTTTAAATTGTAAGATTCTTATGTATGTTATTTATCATACAGGAAACCATCTTCATGTACGCAACCTAAGAAAACCATGCGTGCTACGCATATGCATATATGAAGCATGTTCACATACTCCGTATCATGATAGATCCCACCATTTCGAGGCTAAGAATTTCGGATAATTCATGGCAAAGTGAACTTAAGTTGGCTTCTGACTACAAGGCGCATCCAGGATTTCGTCAAAAGGGTGGGGGGGGGGGGGACGCAACGTTGTGGTCCCTAGAGTTTGGGGCCCCCTCCAGAAAATGACTTCGCATTCTGGCCGTGAAATTTTAAGATAAATAGTAAATAGCACACACACGCATGTATATATATATATATATATATATGTGTGTGTATATATATATATATATATATGTATATATATATATATATATATATATATATATATATATATATATATATATATATAGTCAATATGGCACCCATCCTACTGTGCTAAAGCTAGGCAGGTTATGCATTCACATACATGGAGCTCATTCATTTTCTCCAGATCACGCTAAATCCTGCGATTTTGAGGCAAGTGTTTCGGAAAAACAGGCAAACTCAACTCAAGTTGACTGCTAAGTACCGTCGGAACCAAGCACGGGCTTGATTCCTACCTTTTTTAGCCTTCCTGGCTGGGCAATGTAATTAGTTGATGGCTGACAACTAAAGTAGAATTTTGTATTTGTTATAAATGAGTACAAAATATTTTAGCATTCAAAATATGTAAAGGACGTGATGCACAGGTTTGATAAGTGTGACACACTCAATCGCCAGGGGAAATGACACATGCGACGTCGGAGGCACGTAGAATGACCTTCGACAATTGCGCGTAAAAGTTCATCGGCGCATATTCGACCGCTGCTCTGAGGCTAAGGCACTAAGGCTAAAAGGAACGAAACCTGACCGATTATGGTTGCCCTCCGAGCTTAAAAACGAGGCTCCCGTGAACAAGCGTAGGGTCCTCGAGACAAGTGAAAAGGACCCAAGACCAACGTGGTGGGCCTCTGAACGATCGGTAGTGCCCCGGAAGGCTGACATCTAAGGCCCCCGGCGAGAGCACAGGACCGTATGAGCAAAGGGAATTGTGCAAGACCATGAATTGATACCCCTGTGCGATCAAAAGTGTCCGGGCAGATTAACAGATTGAGCCAGGATAGCAGTAAAGAGTCCTCCGCAAATGAGATCAAAGGGACCCTCGATCAAAGTAGAGCATCGGGTGTCCCGTTGCCTTACCTAACATGAGCCCCAGCATCAACACAATGCCCCCTGAGGAAGTGGAAAGAATCCGAGAGTTACATGAAGAGCTCCTGAACAGCTGAGTGTACCCTGACATATTGGTTCCCGGAGCAAGCGTATAGAGCCTTTCGGGCGAATGGGAAGAATCGGAATCGGAAGCACATACATGAATCAATCATCTTGAGTGACCGACAGTACCTTGGCAGATGAGCATGCAAGGCCCGGACAACGACGTAGAGTCCTCCGAAGAAATATGAAGTGCCGAAGATCATTGTAGCGGTCCTCAGTGCAGGTGAGCAGAAAGGGACCCGACAAGAATGAAGGATCCTCCGCAAATAAGAAAAAAGCCCTGGATCAAGATCAGTGTAGAGGGTCCCTGAGCATCGAGTGCTTTAGTGCCTTTACTTGTATGGCCACGGCAACAGTGCAAGACCCTTCAAACCAGCAGAAAGAAGGCGAGATCAATGTGAAGAGCTCCTGAGCAGGCGAAAGTACCCCGGCAGGCTAGCATATGGGGCCCCGGCAGAAGTGTTTAGAGCCTTTCAGGCAAATGGGAAGAATCCGTGGATGGAGCCCAGACATGTTAGCAGATAGCGCATCAACAGCAGCATGGGGCCCTCCGAGAAAATGCAGAGATCAAGGGCAACATGAAAGGCCCTTAAGCGATCGGATTGATCCCGCAGGTGGATATATATAGCACCCGGCAACAGCGTAGGGCCTCTGTACAGCGTAAGGAGCCTCAAAATCTCCCCCAATCACCAGCCTTTCGATCAGCGAGGAATTATTTGTGTCTGCCCATGGCCCTTTTATTTTTGCTTGCGACTGTTCGTGGTCGCCTGGAGGCCAAAAGACGTTTAATTTGTTGTGTTTGGGACTGAAAACTGCGTCCGTTAGGCCGGTTATGGGCCTTTCGGAGCCTTTGAGCCCGGTGGGGGGGGGGGGGGGGGGGGGGGGATAACAGTCGCGTGCCGGTAGGTAGTGGTAACGCGTCTGCGTTAACCACTGAGCGTTTGGGAAACCAGAGGTACGGGGTTCGATTCCCCTCGGTGCCCGCCCTTCTTGCCAGGGTGAGAGGCAAGCGATGTCATGTAGCCTGAGCAGTTGAGTGCGTCGTGAAGCCCCAATGGCAAGGCATACCACTGTTAACCGAGACCAATGTTAAGGCTCTCCGTAGAGTACCGCGGTAGGTTAACATTGAGGCCCCCGGCTACAACGTATAGAGCCCTTCGGGCGATTTTGAAGAATCCGTGAAGAGCCCCTTATCGATACGAGCGCCTCGGCATTCTGGCAGACAGAGCCGCGACCACAAAGTAAGGCGTAGGGCAGCTATTGTGGAATTCTTCGGGGCCGAAGCGGGGGGGGGGGGGGGGGCATGCTCCCCTTAAATCGGTGAGGGGCGCCAAACTAATGAAGATGACCTAACTTACCATCAGATCCTGATTTCTGCCCGAACACAGTATTACGGAAGGGTTGAGATGAGGCATTAGTATATCATGGATGGAGTTATTGTTCTGACTATCGTTCTCGTCTTATGTGTTAGTTACACATAGTCCAGCCTTCTTTATTGCGAATCCAGAGCCCTACCAACTGAGCTAACCGGGAAGGGCAATCCCGGTTCGAGCCCCGGTTTTAGAGAAACGGAAAGGGCCATGGCTCGAGTCCCAGCTATTCCAAGGAGGCAATTCCGTTTGTCACAAACATGGCTGATAGCCAAGCACCACCCAGTTCTCCTCAGAACTCCATAACACCTGAATAGGGCCGAAGAGTAAACTGACCAAAGCATTGT